CCTTTACGGAGCCCCTAAAGGGACATGGTTAAAGAATATATTAAACTATTTCGAGGAAACGAAATAATATTTCGAGGGAACGAAATAATATTTCGAGGGAACGAAATCATTTCGAGGGAAGGAAATAATTATTCGTTCGAACGAAATAATATATTTGTTCGAAGGAAATTATTTCGTTCCCTCGAAATATTATTTCGTTCCCTCGAATTATTATTTCGTTCCCTCGAAATATTATTTCGTTCCCTCGAAATATTATTTCGTTCCCTCGAAATATTATTTCGTTCCCTCGAAATATTATTTCGTTCCCTCGAAAAATTATTTCGTTCCCTCGAAATATTATTTCGTTCCCTCGAAATAATATTTCGTTCCTTCGAAATATTATTTCGTTCCCTCGAAGTATTATTTCGTTCCCTCGAAATACTATTTCGTTTCCTCGAAATAATATTTCATGTGTGGTGTGCCCACAGTGCCTTCGGCGTCGGCAGTCGTCAGGGGTGGCGCCAGGATTTGCCCGACGGGGGTGGGGAGAGGTGCCGAGGTCCCTGGCTAAGGGGGTCGATGCCCTCGACGAGGGGTCACACTTATCCGACGAAAGCAAAGTGGGTGCGGTCGAGCTTCGATTAAAAGTTTTCTACAGCTTTTAAATTTTGACAATTTAAGGGTTTTAAAGGCTTATTCAATCGATATTATAAGTAGAAAATACATAGAATTTTTGTTTCTCCCCGACGAATTGTGCTTTTTCTCCTCGACGTGGGGGGGGGGGACAGCTCTCTCCGACAGGGGACCTATGGTATTAGGTGTATATATATAACTACTCACAACTAGTATAGACATACACATATTATTTTAATATTGGTAGTATTATATTTATGTGAGATTTTGGTTTTTTAAGTTGAAAGCGCAAGATCCCAAATGCGTGAGACTTTGTAAGTCTGTTTTGGTCTTGGGAAGAAATCATCTTACCGTGACATGCTATGAACTCAGGACACTGAGATTGAACGGCAAGCATCTTAGCCACCAAGTTATTCAACTCCAGTTTGTATTTCAATTTTACCTGTTTTGATCTGTTATTTAGGCCGTATCTCAATACCTAGGGGTAATTATCTGTTGGTTCCCAGAGTCTGGCAGACATACAGGGACAAACTAATGAAGGCTATTTACATTGAAACCCATTAAATCAAAGTTAATAATAACATGGTTATAAACAATAAGAAGAGAGCCTCTTAACAGTACTTCATACTGTATATATATGGAGTGACAATCAAACTTACCAACTAACCAATTAGGACTTGTTATTCATATGTTTACGCTATTTAATGTCCAACAACTTAGCAACAGCACACAAGGGGTGGGCTTAGAGGAATGGTCCAATTTTGCAACCTTAAATTCGACAGCGATATAGGAGCTCATGTTCGCAATTTTATAGACCTTTTGTACAGCTTCATATTATGATAAAATATTTGATTAATATAATAGTTTATTTAGGCCTACAAGCAAATATGAAATCCGTTTTTGATATTGGGTGTACTACTACACTCTATACAAAGCTTGTCTAAAAACAATTAAACTCAACATCAGTACCAAATTTAAAGTAAAACCTTCGCGCCATGTTTAACCCCAGGGCACAAGGATATACATGTTAAACAGCGAGCTTAGGCTTAATCAATTGTTTTAGTGGCAACCCCTTCACAAGAAAACATACGCACGAGATGCCCTACATCCACTGTCGGCACCCATGGGTCGTGACCCATGTTTGGGTCTTGAGTAAATTTTTTAAGGTCGTCGGATCGCATCTGGCTCCCCAAAAAATTATACTTTAAAAATTAGAAGATTTCTGTGATAACATCAAAACAAAACATTTTTTAAATAAAAATAATTTGATAAAAATTGGCTATTGCTTTCAATTTGCCACGGCAGTGTACTATGATCTCAGACAGACCGTTGTTTGTTGAATAGTGTCTATGTTTCGAATAATAATGTAATGTAATAAAGTTTTAAAAACATTGCGGTGTCACTTATCACATCCTCGGCTCCTTATTTTTCTAGCATTGAGGGGCATTTACGCTTTAGTGCCTACTAAAAATAGAATTGAAAGGCTGCTTTAGGTGATTATTTTCTATAATAAGTATATGCTTTCCAAGTATCATATTTTTGTTACGAGAAAGTATCTCGATAAAGAACAGTAGAACCCCTTTTAAGGGGACAACTTATTGAGCGGTCCAGAAGGTGTCCCCTATTAAGGGGACAACTTCTGGACCGCTCAATAAGTGTACCCCTATTCAGAGGACACAACCAAAGCGTAAAATTGTACCTTTATTACAATGATGATTTTATTCACCCAATAATGAGCTACAGTAGAACTATAACTAATCTATATCAATAATTTGCAATGCAAAATCAGCAGTAATGTAATTAAAACTACAATAGCTGCAATAGTTATATTATTTTCCCATTATTTGAAATGCGACTTTAATGACCAACTATTCCATTTTTTAAATATTAAACCTTCTATTGGATAAATGCAGTATGAATAAAGAGTAACGACTCAAAAATAATGGTGCAAGTTATTGTTATGGTATAAATTAGAATCTTATGTGAAAGTACACAAACAAAAAATCACCATGGTTAGGGGTAAAATTTGACAAGATTGATTGGAAGTAGGCCTAAACCGATGTTCACACTAAGGAATCAGGGGAAGCCATTGTGGTTTGATGTGAAGTTTTTTGCTCAAGAGGTGTCAAAATATATGGTTTTTTTTTTGTTTTTTTTTTAATTTGAGACTGATGAAGTTTTTCGATACTGTACAATGGATACAAAAATTAAGTGTCCCCTTACTAGAGGTTGAATACTGTTCCCTGATTTGACCATTCAGCACACCCAGGGCCCGTTCGAGCAAAAAACGCCAACCATATTCCGTTTATTTCGCCGGGTAATCGCGCTGAGCACTCAGCGGGTGGTCGACCGTTCGAGCAAGTTTTAACTCACGGTAAATACGTGTAACGAAACTACTCCGGAAGAAAATTTCAACTTATCCCATGGTCAACAACCCATTCTTTGTTTACTTGCTTTTAGAAAGTGTGTACCGGTGAATTAACTGGTAAATCGCACGGATATTTTTTCGCTCGAACGGGCCCCCAGAGAGTGTTCCCGTCCCATAATAGAGGTGGGCCGTAGTGTTAAAAGAAATAATTCCCCTCATTTCACAAAAAAGTGTCCCCTAATAGGGGTGTCCCAAAGTAGGGTTCTACTGTAGGGTTCTATTGGTCGTATAATTTGTAATTTTGACGACAATTCTATGATAACTGGAGGTCTTGGGTCGTATGAAGCTATGCCCAAACATTCGGGGTCCTAAGGAGTAAATGGTTGCCGGCCGTAGCTCTACATATATAAGTCTCGTTATAAGGCTAGGAAGTGGTCGTTTTGGCAGAGATTCCAAGTTGGAGGAATTCGCAGGCGTGAGGCTTCCGTCCTGAACTCCTCCCCCAGGGGGTCTCAGGCATTGCGCCCTCCCGAATATTTTGTTTTCGACTCTTTAGAGTCTTCGACACTTTAGAGTATTATTTGTTTACAACTATATAACGAAGAATCTGCAATTTTCTTTTGAGAATACATATATATTGCAGGCCATTCGGATTCGCAGCTTTTAGCGTGTACGTGTTTTTCGTCCTTATAATATAAATTATCAGGAAATTTTTTCAAACTTCCACCGACGCTCATCAAAATTGGCTAAAGCAGGCCTACATTAGATACCATAACATAGGCCTAACCTGTAAACTACTCAAAAATTGTATTAGCCCTACACATTATTTTAATATAGGCAATATTACATTTATGTGTGAGATTTTAGTCTTTAAGCTTGAAAGAGTTACGGGATCCGAAATGCGTGAGTCTCTCACGCCGAATGCGTGAGACTCGGTAAGTCTGTTTTTGTCTTGAGAAGAAATCATCTTACCGTGACGTGAATTGAACCCAGGACACTAAGATTGAACGACAATCATCTTAAGCACCAAGTTATTTAACTCGTTTGTATTTAAATTTTACCTGACTGTTTTGATCTGTTAATTAGGCCCTACCTCAATACCTCTTTTGGCGTCATGTGATGCTCTGAAGAAAGTCGGTTTTGGTTTTAGCGGTACTTACAGAATCGATCCCGATGGCGCCGGTAATGGATCGGAGCCGTTCTCGGTAGTTTGTGATATGACATCAGATTTGACTGTGGGTACGTTATTTTATGTTTGATTGTGTTCATTTCCGTTTTCTGACATTCAAAACAATTAGACTATACCTTCGATCCCTTCTTTGAAGTTTCAGTACAATATATTTTCGAAGTAATTCTTAATCTCTAAGATTTATACACTTAAAAGTGTATATTAGTATCTAGACAAATTATTACATTTTGACTATTTTTTGTCTAGGCCTTATATATAATTTCAATTTATGTGTGTTGTATGTGAATGCTTATTCTTATTTTGTTTTGAAGAACAATTTTTGATTATATTTATTTCCCGTCTGTATAATATTTCATATTTTTTGTTTACATCAAAGGTTATACAACGATTCACCACGACAAAGAAGAAGACGGTGATGTGAAGAATGTCGAGAGTCAAGGGTCTTTCATAGTGAATGTTTCTTACAACCTTGGGCGGGACCAGGTGGAGGCGATCAAGGCAGTTTCATCTTCGTGCAGACAATTTATTAAAGTAAATGTTTAGACCTCTCTGGGGCCTGACCTGATGTTTCCTTTAGTAATACTACACGCAGATGATCGATATCCCTCCTATATTCCTGTATATTCTTATTTTTATAAATAGGCCTATTATGTGTGTATACATACATAAATAATTTAGTAGTTGCATACATATTCTTTTTTCCATGAATCGATAAGCCCCAAAAAGAAAGGGAGTCCTCCCCCGGGAAAAGTTTGTTTTCTAGAATGCGGGAAATGAACTTTCTCGACTTCCGAGGTGTCTTTTAAGTTCTTCAAACTTCCAGGTTTCCCCACCTTTTGAAGACGTTCAGGTAATTAAACTTTCTCATCCTTATTGCAGTAAATAGGCCTATGTGTGTATACATACATAAAAAAAGTTGAGTAGTTGCATACGTATTCTTTTTTCCATGAATTGATGAACCCCCCAAAAAGAAAGGGTGTCTGGGTTTTCCCCGGGGAAAATTTTGATTGCTAGATGGCAGGAAATGAGCCTTCCCGACTTCTGAAGTGTCTTTCAATGACTTTTAAATTCTTAAATATTCAAGGTTTTCCCCTCTTAAAAACGGTCAGGTAAATTTTTCTTATCTTATTACAGTAAATACATACAGAAAAAAGTAGTTGCATAGGCCCACGTATTCTTTTTTCCATGAACTGATGAACCCCAAAAAGAAAGGCGGTGGGGGATCCTCCCGAGGAAAAACTTTGATTCCTAGATGGTGGGAAATGAGCTATCCCGACATCTAATTTTCCATTTGTAACAGAAAAATATTTCAGCTCACGGGTCCTGAAAAGGTTGGTCTAGAATTTATTTTTTTTTAAATTTTGTATC